TCTTGCTTTCTTAGTTTAAATTCGAATAATATGAAGATAATCATAACTTTATTCCTGCTCCTCGTGGGATCGACCGTTACAACTTGTCACTACTACTAGTTAGTAGAGGTTTGCTAAGGAAGAAACTATAAAATTTAAATTTTTTGCATCGTGACGCGCGGTCAAAATTTTTTGGAGCATTTAATGCATACTTTTTTTGTAATTTTTTTTAAATATATATTGCTTCCATATACACGTTTAGTAAGATGGAATTAGATATGATCAAAAATATTTTTTTAAAATAATTTTATTAATATTTGCAATAATTTCATTGATATCCGTTATAATATATTACAATATTGATTTTCCGTGATTCATGTTGTTAATATTTTGGTCAAGATAAATATTACATTATATTTTAAGTTCTCACCACAATATTATTTTTTTTCCACAAATATTCACTTCTTATTCAAAAATACTTATAGAAAAATCGTAACAGGTTAGGTAGAATTTAATCTTCTAATTAATCAGCCGAAATCAAGTTGGTGAATTAATCTTTGTCAATATAGTTTTTTCTTAACCTTTATTTCGTTATATATATAAACAAATTATTTTTCAAATTAATGTAATTTACCATTTCAGAGATAATGACCAGATACATTAAATTGTTTTACTGATGATCAAAAATTAAAATTAAAATATGATAATTGTTCTTTAGAATTTATCAGTATATTACTGGCAACCGTGATTTTTTTTTTTTTATCATTTTTTTATTTTGATTTTTTTCTATAATGAAATTCTTGTAAAATATATTTTCATTGCAGAGTATGCAAAATAAAGACCTGATCCTGACATCCTTCAGATTCGGACGACCGCCACCACCGTCCTGACTAGACCTGTTGATTTTGGACTTCATGCGAGGACACCTTGACCAGGACGACCTGATGTAGGGAAAGCGTACGAGTGGGATAGATAAACGAGTAAAGGAGATACTCTCGTAAAATACGTAAAACGAGATACTCTCTCGATAAAACTCACAATACCAATTCATTTTTTATTCATAAACAACCAAGAAAAATAAACTAGAGGAAGTCCTTTATATAAGGCCCCTAACCCTAAACATTAACTTGTCCACCAAGCCATTAAATAATAATAATAATAATAATAATAATAATAATAATAATAATAATAATAATAATAATAATAATAATAATAATAATAATAATACTAATCTACACCATTCTCCCTCGGTTTGGAAGGCTTCGCCCTCGAAGCCGATGCGCACCCGTGCCCGGCGTATGGTGTCGAACCCATGGTAGTAACTCTCGTCGTTTTCCTCGGTTGAACACGAAGGTTGAATGCCTCACTCCCATGGTATCACACCCTTGAAAGTCATGGAAACACATATATGCAGCAGTCACACACATAATTTTGAAGTCACCGTGGGAACCAAAACACAATATCTGTTTACAAGGTCGCAACAAATTCACGTAGGAGAAAAGCTCGGGTCTGCACAATAGAATAACTACCAATCGAACCCCACATTCTTCCAACAACTGAATTTTGATGCCCGAAACATGATTGAATTCCTCCGGGCCCGAAGGCTCCTTATCGAAAATCGGCGGACCGTCGTAGAGACTGTCCACTTCACCGGTAAGACGCTCCTTCACCTCCTTGGGTTCTTCATCAAACACTGGTGGACCATCGTACAATGGCCCGTCAACTTGCTCTTCGTCGAATTCTGGTATGTCAACGCGAAATGAGCCCTCCCATTCACCATATTCGCGATCAAGTCCCCAATCGTGTCGGACACGATATCCGCCAGCGAAGGCTACCTCCTCGCCCCAACCCATGTCGTTGTGTTGATCGTCGCCATCCACGAAGCCGTTCAGAGGTGGCCGGGACCGCTGCTGGGGCGCCCCGACATGGCTGCGTCCCCCACAACCGCCTCTGTCTCCCCCGTGAAAGCCACGGCCCACAACCCCATCGCGGTTCGTTTGCAATCCCGAAACAACCACGTTGTTAAGCGTCAAATGCAAATCCTCGATCCCCGTCGAAAGATCGGCAAACCAATCCGTGAAACGCACGTCCAACTCATGAAATCGGTAGTCAATCTGTTGAAACCGATCGTTGAAGGTTGCATCACGTTGTTTGTTTGCAGTATCTTGTCGTCCCGGCGGCATCGCGGTCGTACTGACTGCTGATACCAACTGATGTAGGGAAAAGCGTACGAATGGGAAAGAATACGAGTAAACGAGATACTCTCTCGTAAAACACGTAAAACGAGATACTCTCTCGATAAAACTCACAATATCAATTCATCTTTTATTCATAAACAACCAAGGAAAATAAACTAGAGGAAGTCCTTTATATAAGGTCCATAACCCTAAACATTAACTTGTCCACCAAGCCATTAAATAATAATAATAATAATAATAATAATAATAATAATAATAATAATAATAATAATAATAATAATAATAATAATAATAATAATAATAATAATAATAATAATCTACACCAAATTCGAATAGATCATGTATTAATGGCATAACTTTTTTTTTTTTATAAACACCAATAGATATTTCAATAGCAATCAACATTCAAACATTCCGTTGGAATTTGTTGGGGTATCACAACAAGCGCAGCAGACAAAAATACCCCTCCAATGAATATGGCGAACACTACTCCAAAATAAGTCAACACAAATAAAAGACGAGAAATAAAAAAAACACAAAAATTTATAACGGAGTTCGGCGAAAATAGCCTACGTCTCCAGGCACCGCCAACTGCAATGCCAAATTTACTAAACTCACCAACAAAATACAACTAGGGTTAAATAACCCACAAAATAGGATTTCCTTAATTAAGGATTTCCTTCTAAATAGGAGAGAATAAAATAAGGTGCAAACTCGACCGAATTATAAAAATTTCTCGGCTAACCTGGACTG